TCGGCGAGTCGGGGCCCTCTGGGACCGTCTGCCTCTTCGGAGGTCTCAGGGGCGCTCTTTGCGCTCCAAGGGAGCCCGGGGAAGGCCAGACCACCGCGGATGAGTTCGGCGGTGGGTCGTGCCGGGCCCAGGGGGGGGGTTCAAATTGCTGGTTTGGGGTCCCTGGGGGGGATAATGAGGGGGGAACAATCTCGCACGCCTAGAGACCCACAAGGGGTCGGCGGAATTTTTGAACGCGGGGTCCGCAGACGGCCCGACTCTTAACCCAGGGCTGGTTTCTCGTCCCGAGCCGTTTCTGAGGATCCCATGACCCTGCCCACGGGCGGAAAACAGCCGAAATTTATCCTCCGTGTTTTTTTCGCGACGCGGGCATGTCTGCGACGACGACGACGACGACGACGAGGAGGAGGAGGAGGAGGAGGAGGAGGAGGAGGAGGAGGAGGAGGAGGAGGAGAGGAGGAGAAGGAGGAGGAGGAGGAGGAGGGGAGGCAGGAGAGGAGGAGGTGGGCGCCCTGCAGGTCTCGGCCGACGTCTCGCTCGCCCTCCGTCGACCGGGCGCGGCCGCCCTCGCGGCCAACGTCCGGCGTCGGCTCGCGCGCCTCGTCCAGGCATGGGGGGGGGGACGAGGGGGAGCAGGAGGAGCAGGAGGAGGAGGAGGAGGAGGAGGAGGAGGAGGAGGAGGTAGGGGAGTGAGGAGGAGGAGGAGGAGGAGGAGGAGGAGGACGAGCAGGAGGAGGAGGAGGAGGAGGAGGAGGAGGAGGGAGGAGGAGGAGGAGGAGAGTGGAGGAGGAGGAGGAGGAGGAGGAGGAGGAGGCGGAGGAGGAGGAGGAGGAGGAGGAGGAAGGAGGAGGAGGAGGGGAGGAGGAGGAGGAGGCGGAGGAAGGATGGAGGAGGAGGAGGAGGAGGAGGAGGAGGAGGAGGAGGAGGAGGAGGAGGAGGAGGAGGAGGGAGGAGGAGGAGGGAGGAGGAGGAGGAGGAGGAGGAGGAGGAGGAGGAGGAGGAGGAGGAGGGAGGGAGGGAGGGAGGGAGGGAGGGAGGGAGGGAGGGATGGGAGGGAGGGAGGAGGGAGGGAGGGAGGGAGGGAGGGAGGGAGGGAGGGAGGGAGGGAGGCGAGGGAGGGAGGGAGGAGGGAGGGAGGGAGGGTAGGAGGGAGGGAGGGAGGAGGGAGGGAGGGAGGAGGAGGAGGGAGGGAGGGAAGGGGAGGGAGGGAGGGAGGGAGGAGGGAGGGAGGGAGGGCGGGAGGGAGGGAGGGAGGGAGGGAGGGCGGGAGGAGGGAGGGGGAGGGAGGGAGGGAGGGAGAGTAGGAGTAGGTGTCAAGTTACCCAAGTTTCGGGGGGGGGGATGACTACGGGGGGGTATCATGTCGAGGGCCGTGATATCTCCCCAGATGTCATTGTGCCTCTTCTTGGTTCTTTATGTCCCCTGGCCCCCCTGGGCCGCGCGCGTGCAGCAGGCTACGTATGATTTGCGAGCCCCCCTCTTGGACACCCCCGTCTTGGACGCCCCCCGAGGTCGAGTGAGTTGGAGGGCACCGCCTAAGCTTATCCTCCCTCCCACAGCATCATAATCAAGTGTGGCTCAACTTGATATCGGGATTGGAACCGTGAACGGGAGGCGCTCGCGCGTGGCCCCGTCTCCGACGATTTGTCGAAGGCAAAGGTACGCGGGCCGCGAGGAGGCGGGAGCGGCAAAACTTCGATGGGCGCGGGGAAGACGAAGCATACGCCGCGCCGACACAGCCCTGTCAATTTCTCAATCAAGCCGCGAGGCGCTTGCGCGAGGTCGGCATTTCGGCATCTCGCCCGCTCTCGCGCGGCCCCGCTGCCGCTGTCGCTTTCCTGCGATTCGGCGAACGAGCCATGCGCCGCGTCCGCGCGGGAACGCCACTTGCGAGCGAGATGCGCGCGGACCTTGGGCGAGGGCAACAGCTCACCCGCTCGCACGTGGCACGGGTCCTCTACATCGACGAGTGAGACTCTGCTCCGCGACGAGGCGGGAGCGCACTTTCGGGCGAAATCCGCGCGGCATTGTCGCCCCCTTCGCGCGTCGACGAAATTGCGTGCGAAAGCGTGTGCGCCGCGCCCGAGCGGGAGCTCGATTCTCTAGAAGAGTCAGCGTGGCGCCGAGGCGAGAGCGACACTTCGGCCTGTCGCGCGGGATGTGCGCCCCGTCCCTATCCTGCCACGCATTTTGCAGTATGGGCGACGTAATGTCCGTGTCGAAACCGGGAAAAGGCGGCGTAGCATTGTTTTGCAACTGCCAGGGTGGGAGGTCTCGGATCTGGCGGCTACCGGCCGGCTAGGCGGATGGATGTAAGGAGGAGGAACAAGAATTGGATGAGGCGGCGGAGGAGCAGGAGGCGGCGGAGGAGGAGGAGGAGGAGGAGGAGGAGGAGGAGGAGGAGGAGGAGGAGGGAGGTGGTGATGGAGGAGGAGGAGGAGCAGGAGGAGGAGGAGGAGGAGGAGGAGGAGGAGGAGGAGGATGAGGACATACACGCGGCTACAGGAAGGTCGGCCCATAGAGGGCCGTGTGATGCACTGAGTGGCCAGGTGAGTTAGCACACGCGGCGCGTATTGCTGTTTGCTCCATGTGGGTGCAGGTAAGAGGATGGTGCTGCTGCTGATGATTATGATACTGGTGATGATGCTGCTGATGATGATGAGGAGGATGATGATCATGCTGATGATGATAGTGATGATGATAGACTGAGTGGCAAGTTGAGTTAGCACACGCTGCGCGTAATGCTGTTTGTCCCATGTGTGTGTGTGTGTGTGTGCAGGTAAGATGATGCTGCTGCTGATGATGCTGATGATGATGATCCCGCGGCGGATCATGAAGCTGATTATGATGATGATGTTGCTGCTGCTGATGTTGATGCTGATGATGATGCATATGACGATGATGGTGATGTTGATGCTGATTATGCTGCTGATGATCATGCTGCTGCAGCTGATGATGATGCTGATGATCAGGCTGATGATGCTGATGATGATGATACAGTGAGTGGCCAGGGGAGTAAGCACACGCTTCGCGAACTGCTATTTGTTCCATTAGGGTGCAGGTAAGAGGATGGTGCTGCTGCTGATCGTGATGATGAAGCCACCGGGGATGATGATGATGCTGATGATGATGATGATGATGATGACGATGCTGATGATGAGGCTGAGGATGATGCTGCTGATGCTGATGCTGCTGCTGACGATGCTGATGATGGTGCGGAAGATGCTGCTGCTGATGATTATGATGATCATGGTGATGATGGTGATGATGATGATGATGATGATGATGATGATGATGATGATGATGATGATGATGATGATGATGATGATGAGGATGATGATGATGATGATGATACACTGAGTGGGCAGGTGAGTTGGCACACGCTGCGCGTAATGCTGTTTGCTCCATTCGGGTGCAGGTAAGAGGATGCTGCTGCTGCTGATGATGATGCCGCTTCGGATGATGATGATGCTGATGCTGATGAAGATGATGCTGCAAATGGTGATGATGACGATGATGATGATGATGATGCTGATGATGATGATGACGATGATGATGATGATGATGATGATGATGATGATGATGATGATGATGATGATGACGGTGATGATGGTGACGACGACGACCAGATGATGATGATGATGATGATGATGATGATGATGATGATGATGATGATGATGATGATGATGATGATTATGATGATGATGATGATGATGATGATGATGATGCTGATGATCATGCTGCTCATGCTGATGCTGATGCTGATACTGCTTCTACTGATGATAATGCTGAACATCATGTTGCTGCTGATGATGATGATGCTGATGCTGCTGATGATGATGCTGCTGCTGACGACGACGATGATGATGATGCTGATGATCATGCTGTTGCTGCTGATGATGATGATGATGATGGTGGCGACGACGATGATGATGATGATGATGATGGTGATGCTGATGATGACGATGATGCTGCTGATGCTGCTTCTGCTGATGCTGATGATGGATGAGTTGATGCTGTTTCTGCTGACGAGGACGACGACGATGATGATGCTTCTGATGATGATGCTGATGATGATGGTGATGCTGTTGTTGATGGTGATGCTGATGATTGTGATGGTGCTGATGACGATGACGATGATGATGGTTTTGGTGGTTGTGGTTGGGAGGAGGAGGATGGTGATGGATCATGCTGACGGTGATGCTGCTGATGATGATGATGACGCCGACGATGATGCTGATACTGCGGATGATGCTGATGATGCTGATGCTGATGTTGATGATGCCGATCATGATGATGATGTTGATGATGATGATGATGATGATGATGATACGCTGAGTGGCAAGGTGAGTTAGCACACGCTGCGCGTAATGCTGTTTGTTCAATTTGGACGCAGTCAGGGAACGATGGTACTGATAACGATGCCGCTGCGGATGATGATGATGCTGATGATGATGCTGCAGATGATGCTGCTGATGATGACGATGACGGTACTCATGATGCTGATGATGATGATGCTGATGATCATGCGGATGACGATGCTGCTGATGATGATGATGATGATGATGCTGATGCTGATGCTGATGCTGATGCTGCTGATGATGATGAAGATGATGATGCTGACGATGCTGATGCTGATGATGATTAGGATGATGATGCTGTTGACGACGACGACAATGATGATGCTGATGATGGTTACGATAATGATGACGATGATCATGCTGATGATGATCATGATGATGATGATGATGCTGATTATGATGATGATGCTCATGCTGCTGATGATCATGATGATCATGATGCTGATGCTGGTGAGGATGATGACGATAATGATGATGATGAGGATGCTGATGACGATGATGATCATCATGCTGACGATCATGTCAATGCTGATTCTCATGATAATGCTGCTGCTGATGCTGATGATGTCTATGATGATGATGGCGATGATGATGCTGCTGCTGATGCTGATGCTGATGCTGCTGATGATGCCGATGATGATGATGCTGGTGAGGATGATGGTGATGACGAGGTTGTTGCTGATGATGATGATGCTGATGATGACGATGGTGATGATGCTGCTGCTGATGATGATGATGATGATGATCATCATGATAATGATGCTGCTGACGATGACAACGGCGACGATGATGATGGTGATGCTGATGCTGATTCTGCTGCTGATGATCATGCTGCTGATGATGATAATGATGATGACGATGACGATGATGATGACGATGATGATGATGCTGATGACGATGATGATGATTATGATGATGATGCTGATGATGATGGTGATGGTGATGGTGATGGTGATGGTGATGATGATGATGATGCTGCTGATGATGATGGATGAGCTGCTGCTGCTCATGATGAGGAGGATGATGACGATGCTGCTGATGATGCCGATGATGATGATGCTGGTGAGGATGATGGTGATGACGAGGTTGTTGCTGATGATGATGATGCTGATGATGACGATGGTGATGATGCTGCTGCTGCTGATGATGATGATGATCATGATAATGATGCTGCTGACGATGACAACGGCGACGATGCTGATGCTGATGCTGATGCTGATTCTGCTGCTGATGATCATGCTGCTGAT